GTGTGTGTGTGTGTATGTGTTTGTGAATTTACTTCTTCGACTGACTCACTTCTGTTGATGTATCTTAATTTTGTTTAAAGATACTACCGTACAAAAAGATCAACATGCGTTTGATAATAATGATATTCTCCATTTCCGATGTATCAATGCTTTTTTAGCCCGTTTATCACGTTCCCTAAGTCCTTTTTAATCCCATAGATGATACAATAAATGAACGCACTGATGAACCCTGCAATTCGCAAAATAAACCAAGACGTGATATGAACTAACGTGGAAACAATCAACTTGTGCCTGGCTGGCTCACGTGATCTAATCCGAGTGCTATAAAACATTAACCAAACAAACAAAAGAGCCAAACCATGCGATTTGTTCCTTCTACAGATTACAGTGGTTGACATGGATTCCCAGGCACTGTGCATGTCAGTGAACGATCCTCACATCACAACTTTCGATGGCAGGTCAGTAAAGTTCTGCAACGAACCATTTATTTGTAATCTTAGCCGTCTCTGCCTCTGTCTCTGAGTGATTGTGTGTGTCTTTGTGCGTGTGTGTATGCGTGTGAGTGTGTGTGTGTGTGTTTGTGTGTGTGCATGTATGTGTGTATGTGTGTGTGAATGAGTGTGCATGTATATTCAAATTTTGGTGAAGATATCTCGGGCGACTCTTGTCGTAGATGTAATACAGGCTAACTGTACCTGATGAGGCAAAATAGTCGTTTGTATGTGCATGCGTGTTTGTGTATGCGTGTGTCTCTATACATGTACGTGTGTTTGTGTGTATGAACGACATAGCTTTAACAATATCATTTATGCATAAACCCCCTAGCATAATTATATGAAATGACGTTGGGGTGTGTTAGGCGCATTGCTTTTATCATTCATGCACTCTGACATAACTGATTGCCAAGTAGCCTATATTGTAATATTATCAACTGGGTGAAATAAGGATTTCCAAAGGATAAAACACCCTGTCCTCGAATCGCACTCACAAGCCCTATATTGCTAATCCAACGCTCTGTCATTACTTCACCACAGTAAACTTTAGCAATCCCTTCGGAATTTACTCGACTTAGGCTAGGCTAGGCTAGAATGCACACAAAGATCTAGACTCCGTTGGGCCACATTTAGGTTTATCGTGGCGTCATACACGAAAGACGTTTTTAACTCACTGAGGGCGCCCATCATGGTCATTCAGCAACACTTGAAGACGTACTATTTTGGGGCACTTTTAAAAATAGCTGCATAACTCCATTTTTCATACAGATTTTACAACTAGGTTTCCTTTTTCTGGATCTTAAAAAGAAAGACAACAACTTGCATACAACGAAATTGTCGTCCTGTGTTTCTGATTTGTGAATGATGGTTCGAAAGGTGCCGCAGCATTGCTTTTTGTCAGCAGAGCTGCTGATCGGACATATTATTGTGTCCACTTCGTTTATAAAGAGTTAACGTGTTTTCAGAATGAAAGGTCGAAACTTACTTTTACCAATACCCATTGACTAGGACGTCAGTCCTTAAGGTGCGGGCGGTTGGAGAACACCACCAGTGGCAGATCCTGCTTATTCTGTTACTTATCTTTTTTAGTCTTGCCTATCTGTTGTACTTTTCCCCCTGTACTTAACGACTGTTATTGTGTCAGTGTAGTTCTCTTTACTTTAAAAAAACTAGCCACTAAAGTGTGCCAAATTTTTGTGTCAGTAGGAATTTTACTTGGTACTTCAATGAGAAATAAAAATCCACACAATATGTTATTGATGATACCGTTATTCATTTTGATTTTTTAATATTTTTTTGAAAATCTTTTTATTTGTGTATTACAGGTTGTTTCACAACTTCTTTGAAGGAGAGTTTGTTCTGTACAGACATAAAACACAGCCTTACGAGGTACTTTCTTCTGCATATTCCCATATTACATGTATATATGCACATTTAAAGAATCATGGCTTCCTGTTTACGAAAAAATCATTTCCATCAGTTTAACGCAATTGAAAAGACTACTTCTGCGTACGTGATACCAATAAACGTCAGTAAGTACGTAAGTGTATGGGTTTAACTCCCTTATCAACACTATTGGATTATTTACGAGATGTGGGACCTTCGAGAATTTAATATCCGTCTCCGATAGGACCAGGCCAAATGGGTTGAGAGCTTTAAAAACTCGTCAAAACAACCCAAGTTCCAAAAGAGTCCAGCATGATACCAACTGACCTAACGGAGCGCTCTACTAACTAATGGCTCGAGTCAAATATTTTTTTTAAAATGTCAACCCAATAATCCTGACCCACCATTTTCTTTACATCTGCACTAAGAATCTGAACCACTAATTATTCACTGATTATTTAATTCTTGTGATAGTTAAGCCACAAAACTTTTTTTTATCAACATTTATCAGCTCATATCAGCATTGTTTTCTATCATGGGGGGGGGGGGGAGCAATTATCTTCAACCTCTTTTGAAATTTTGAAAACTAATTCTGTCGACCCAAATTCGAATTTGAGGAATCGACTGTCTATTTATGATTTTTTAAAGATTTATTCTCTTGAAAAGTGTGTGCTTGTACCAGTGTTGCAGACCTTTTCAAGTACCGACGTGACACCCATCCCGAAGCTTTTTCTTCGGGGACTATGCAGTCTAAAATTAATTTTCATCTTTCTGTAGGGTGGTTGTGGGTGCTCTGGTGTGGTGTGCTCTTTCTTGTCTATCAAACATCTATCGTCCTAATCTCTCCTCCTTCTTGTTTGTATTTGTTACTCTCTTGTACTTAACTTTACCTTTCTTTACTTTATTCTTCCTCTTCTTTCGTTAGATCTGGAACGCAGAAGCCATTTTTTGGTTAAGGGCTGGGTAGGTGGCTTCTGTTGTAGGTATTTCATTCTTTTGGGGAACCTGTTTAACGCCTTTTTGCCAAGTTTTGTGTGGTCTGTACCTGACCTTGTATCATGACTCTTTTCAGATGTAAGCTCGTTCAGATGGTTGATTTGGTGACATTCTCGTCAGATGAATGTATCACTTGATTCTTTGTACTCTCTTGTAACACCTTTAATATTAGGTACCTGAACGACCTTATAGTATTGCCAATGCCGTAAAACTTTTACTAAACAGATCTTTCTGCTGTACAGGTAAGAGCGTTCTACCGAAAATGTGCCGGAGGCCGAGCATCTTGCAACTGCGCCGTTGCCATCAGAGCAGGTGATGACGTCATCCTTATTGACAAGTGTGGGCCGGTGGATAGTGGAGCCAACAGCTTTTACCCAATGACAACGAAAATGTTCAGGAAAGGGACTCTGACTCCAGGATTCCGTGTGCTCAGTCAGTATGAAGGCCGTGAATACAAGGTGAGTGGCCCAATTAGCTCGTAGTCTAGAAAAAATAGATACAGCTCTCTCTCTAACTCTTTTTTCCTTTCTTAAAAGAATCTGTTATTGTAAGAAATGTATAATGTATATTACACCGGCAACTGTGGTGTGATGTAAGGCACTACGTCCTTGCACGCAGCTGATGTGAGTTCGATTCCCCAGTGGGGGAGTTTTTTTATCAAGCACCCCCTATGTCTACTGGAATATTGCATTACACCCAGCCTGTATATTACGGCCCTACAAAGCAGAGTCGAAGCAGTAGTGGGTCTCATAAATGACATAAATTGTCTAGCAAAACACTTACAATGTTTATTACAAAGTATTTTACAACAGAATAGTTAGCTTCTGAAGAAGTGCTTTGCTCAGACATAATATACAACAGGAAAGTCCTATGATTGGAAGTGGCTCTATTGTTCAACAGTCGTAGTTAGTGTATCTTATAACTTGAACGTGTATACTGATGGCATCTACATACGAGTACATGCTTCATTTGCATTACTAGCAATCTATTTGTATCTGCGTTATTACGCTCTAATCCTCACAACTATTTCTTTTGGATTCACGCAAAAGTAAACTTGAGCCCTCTACTTTGAAGTGAGCACAATCTGGGATCTCCACTCTCACTCTCAGTGGGACCACATTTTGATCGCCACGATGGCATGAGTAAATTAAGGTTGTGACATTTTTTTAACATGGGAGGTCGAAATTTGCTTTGACTGATTACTATATCAACATGGGTTTCATTTTTAAATTATATTTAATTTGATTATTATTCTCCAATGCAGGTTGTATTTCCGAGTGGCACAATACTGCGGGTCGAGCGAAGCTCCATCAAAAGTTACCACTATATTAATGTGTGGTTGAAACCGTCTCCATCTGACTATGGACAAACAGAAGGTAACGTTTCTTAACAGGTTTACTTCAAATTCATAGCGACAACACAATATTATAATTTGTCGAACCTAGACTCCTAATAATTTTTAATAACCCCACGTACGATGGCATATTATTTTACAACCCAATATAAGCTGTCAATTATCGGTTTTGCTCAATGTTTCACCTAGAGATTCTTTGAAAACATTAATTTCATTAGTTTCCTTTGCGATACATGTACTATGTTTCATTTTGTAGTTGTGAGTG